GTTATGTAATTTGATAAATCGTTTGATGGAAGTAATTAAAATCATTAACTATTACTTTTCCATTGAGCATTAGAGTTGTTGAACGTTAGGGTCGTTGAGTCTGGATCATTGTTTGAGCGAATGCTTGCCAGTAGAGGCGACTAAGTACATAAAGAAGTGCACATAATAGTCATGAAACGACGTATGTATTACCATAAAGCAAAGAGATATTATTCGAGAGATTTGAGCAATATGTTTCACAAGGATCATTTTTCATGAGATCGAACGCGATTAATCATTAGGGGAACACGTGACAGGAATTCGAACGAAAAAACAGTGTTTGCCACTATTATTTACGTCCGCGAATGCATGCATATACGTATATGTTTTCGTGTATATGTGCTTGGGATGTATGTTAATTTTATTATATAATTAATGACTATTAAGTTTTGCAATCTATTTTCTTCCGATTATGGCTTGATGTCTGTTTGGTAAAATTGCATAAACAGATTGATGGTAATTTTCCTGTTGTCTCCGATTTCGTACAGAGCCTAATCACGTCTCCGTTAAATTCATTTGTCACAATTAGCCTCGGTTGCTCAGGCGTACGTCGGAATAAAAAAAATTCGCATTTTCGTTTTCGATTTTTTAATCGATCGAACGATAAATAAGGAAAATTCACGCCGATTAGGCGACATTCGGTGGAATTCGATCGGAGATAGGAGAGACAGTGTCTCTGAGCTCTCGAGCCGGAATCCAGCAACGAGGCTCATTACCTTACGTAATATAATGGGACACGCGACTTCTCCCTCTTCGTCGGTCTCGCGTTGCAGTCTCGCTCTAGCGTTCTCTACCTGGCAGTAACACCTCTTTCTTCGTCGTCATCCGACAGGTTCTTTCCTGCGGTGTTTATCAGCTTTCGTAATGAAATTCATATTACCCACACTTGTACCAAATCCTTTCCCAAATTTCGTTACGAAACCTTCCCTGTTTACGTCCGTACACGCGTGTACTTACCTCTTGTCACTTTTATCGTGCGCAACGTTGCTTGTGCAACCATCAGATATCTATTCTAATTTGCTCTGCGATTCATGCGACAGTTCGATCTTCGAAATAAATGAAATATAAAAATATAAAATAAAATAAATGAAATATAAAAATATAAATATAAAATTATAGATCGTCCCTGTGATAGTAAATTCAATATTTTCTATATGAATAAATAGTAGCTTGTAATGCTGGAATAATAAATTAAAATTATGTGACCTGAGGGTATTTATACAAAGTGATTCTCATAATTCACGTAGTGACGTCAAATAACTCGTATATTATTCATATTGAGAAAGAATGTCCTCAGCAAAAATTGTACGACTTCTACAGGCACGTTGATTCTATTTTACTTTTAAAATCATTTTCAGTTTTTTAAATGGAGTACTCGATATTAATTATTGAATATGAGAAATAAATTAGGAGATATAAGGTCTGAGTTTAATTATAAGAAAATGAAATTCAGGTAACGTCACTGGTTGTAATATTTTTTATTATCAATACCTGAGTTTCATACTCGGTTCAATTTCTAAAAATTGTTTATCTCGAGCCATTGAATTAAAACTCATTTCGCTTTCTTAAAACCTGATAAGAAATACTGATTTAAGGAGATGAAGGCAACCCTTTCGATGAGGAAACTGGGGAATAATAAAATGCTGACGTATTGTGTGTGCCTCTCGAAACCGTGCGAAGAAGTCCTTCGGTATTCAATCAGATTTTTCTCGGACTCTCGTTACATTCGTGGAAACGAAAAAATTACTTACTTGCATAAGAATTGAAGAAAAAAAAAATCATCGTCCGCACCTTCTAACAACAAAGTTAAACACGTGCGAGCAAACACGAATTTGCAATCACGTTTTCTGCTTAAAGTCTTCGCGTTGTTCCATCGGCAATTTCTTATGCCCAAGGTTACAGATGAAATAATAATTTGCTAAGTAACTCGAAATACCGATGGAATATCCGAACAATTTTTATAAAATATTTCTCTTTACTCTATTTAGGAAAAAATAAATTATTCTGCACGTCTCTATTGTGTCTTAGTAAAATAATAATTTTTTGTCAGAATCATGGAATAAACCTATAGGTCATCGTTGCATCTTAATGAGAGACGATGATAAAAAGTATCGGATCATGTGATCAATTACTTCATATCATCGTCTCGGATGCAAATCTATCAGGCCACTTGGTAATTCTATTTTTACATCAATCTAAATTATTATACTACGTAAATGAACGAAGAAATTTTTAATAACTAGAAAGAAAATTCGTGTTAGTCATCATAGTCAGTTCTAGATTAGAGAATTATAATAGAAAGTGAAGTTTCCAATTCTTCTTTTGAAACCCATCTAAATTACATAATACATTTATGTAATACACATTCATTGTAAAAATACATCTTTTGTTATGCAATATTCATATCATATGGCAGAATACATATTCTAAAAAAAGAAAATAGAGAAATTAGTAGATTACAGGTTTTAAAACGAGGTTCTTTTTAATTGTGAACCTTATGACTTTTGAAAACTAATTCGAGTCGTTAGGCACTTAGTTAATCTGTTTTCGACGGTGTCCACTGAATATTAGACTGGTCGTGTTTAATTAAAAGACGAAAAAGTCGGAAAGACTGAAACGTTCTAACACCGAGAATCCTACCTCGTGCGCGAGATCAAGGCCCGGTCACCCGAGCTACTCAGTCATTCCCGGTTTTTCTGTTTCTCTTTTACTTTTTTGCGGCTCTGAATACCGCGTTACAAAACCACCGGCACCGGTGTCAAGGCGTTGCTCAATAAATCCCATCGTAGTGGCTCTTAAGATTAGAAAAAAAAAAAAAGGCGACTTACTGGTTGACAAGTGTTTTTACGCTGGCTACGCTTTACCTGTCGGCGTCTACGCTCTCTTCGCATTCCGTTTTCTCGACGTATTAACTCGTTCGTCTATCGATTCTTTTAATTACGTTTAATTTTCTATACGACGTGTAAGTAAATGAAATTTTAGTTATAATCGTTTAGAAATTTGATAATATTCCTGAAATGTTATCTCATCAACCATAAATACCATAATCGAATTTGGTACAATGGTTTATATAATGATCGATACAATAGTTCACCGAGTGATTATTTTTATTATGTTCGTGGATATTATTTAGTTTCGTTCTTAACGCGAATCGGTTTATTTAAATTGTATAGCAGCCAGGTTTCCCTGAAAATTCTTTTTTTAGTTCCTCGATTAATTCTATTTTTGATAACGCGACAGTTTCTGAATAATTACAAGGAAAAACGTGTGCACATTGTCAATTTGTATTCTGTTACTTAACATCACGTTCGATTATTCAATGGAAATTTGAATGAAACTTTATCTCAAGTATCATTATTCACCATTTCAAGGATCACTATCAATAACAATGTTAACATTATTTCTATAGGTGTTAATAGACACCTTCTGAAAATTTTGCTT